AGTCAGTTGGCCCAGTACTTCTGTCCCATTTTGGACCCATTAGTTACCGTGGGGACCCCTTCTCATTGAGAGGTTTGTTTTAGGCCAATAAGGGGTGAGTCAGAGTCTAATTGGGGTTCCTTTTCATGCCTAATAACTTCTAACTTAATTTTCTTCCCATTTCACAACTATACTTACGTTCAACATTGAGGAAGCATGAGGTTTTGAAGCCTTTAGCGTCACAAGCATATGTTCTTGAGTCGTCCAAAGTGCAGTCGTGGATGAGCAGCGCTCGCTTGCAGCCGTCAACGATCATCTCATATTTCTTTGTCTTGCGGATCTCCTGTCCATCCCTGAACCATTGCACTTCTGCATTTTCCCTGGAAACTTCACATTCGAGTGTGGCCGTGGCCTCCTCTTCCACTGTCTGGTCCTCCAGAGGCTTAGTGAACTCCACTGGTGGTTCTGGATGAACAAAGAAATAGCGAAGACAGCAGTTTGAACACTAAAGATCAGTTTGTTTTTCGTGGGATTTCTTCCTGGCCAATAAAATAAGGCTGCAGTGATAGTCACATATTGTGGTTGATTTATCAGTGCAACGTTTCACCTCTTCTAGTCTTGAAATGCTCACAGAAAAATGTAAGTTAACAATGTAAAGTCTCAGTCAGCTGCAGTAAGAGAGTAGCTTGTTTTTTGGCGTCATATGGGTAAGTGCAAAATAATCTTGGGGATTTGATAATATACCTGTGCAGCCTCCACAAGTAAAGTTTATACATTCATAATGACCTTTTTAAATAACCTTTTTTTCATATCTCACAGTATAAAGTTTTCTTTTTTCTGTCTGATATGCACCTACCCAAATTACAGACCTAAGTAAAACTACTTGGACCATGCACTGACAAAGTCCCTCCCTGAGCCTGGTTCTGCTGGAGGTTTCTTCCTGTTAAAAGGGAGTTTTTCCTTCCCACTGTCGCCAAATTGCTGCTCATAGGGGGTCACATGATTGTTGGGTTTTTCTCTGTATCTATCGTTGTAGGGTCTACTGTACAATATAAAGCACCTTGAGGCGACTGTTGTTGTGATTTTGCGCTATATGAATTAAATTGAACTGAATATCCTAAGTGCATTTAACAGTATCCACATTGACAAACAAACAAATTGAACTGGAAGACACAACCAACACAACCACTGTATGCAAAATGGGAATGAGCAGGCTCGATTTTATAAAGACACCAAGATATATCAACTTGCAGACTAAAATGCTGGAGATTTTCTATCAGTCAGCTGAGGCAAGTGCAGTGTTCATTGCTGTTATCTTCTAGAAGGACACTATAAAAGCTGGTGACATCAATTCAGCGCCAAATCACAACAACAGTCGGCTCAAGTTGCTTAACATTGTAAGTAAAGAGCCAACAATCATATGACCCCCTGTGAGCAAGCACTTTGGCAACAGTGGGAAGGAAAAACTCCCTTTTAACAGGAAGAAACCTCCAGCAGAACCAGGCTCAGGGAGGGGCGGGGCCATCTGC